TTTCCGTGTTTGAGATCGTTGGAAAAATCGATGAAAGAATCGACTGCTCGAACGCTGTCTACGAGGCTTAATGGCAACGATGAAGACTCGAACGGCAGATAGGAGAGGGATCGTTTTCCCGTGATATTCCAGCGGGGCTGAAATAATGTCGTCAAATAACAGACGATAGACAACGACGCCGACGGTCGACAGGATAATCCTCGGGAGACACGAAGATCGGACATCGGACGCGTGCTAGGAACGAGGAGAGCAGACATATTGTCTTAGCGAGTTTCGAAGGCTTGGCAGGGGTTCACCCTCCGGTCCCATAAACGTATTCATGGCTGCGACGGGGGTTCTGCTTAACGTCCACGGAATCACCGCTGTCAATATGAAGCCTCGACGGCTAATAAAGATTGATGACGTTTAATTAAATGCTCGATAAAAACGGCGCGCGTCAGTTTCCCGTGGAACGGTCACGGGACAATGGGTGGTTAACGAGGCATTTTAAATCGACCGCTGTCGATTACGAATCGTGACTCGTCCCCTGGCGCTGTTTAAACCTCGAACGAAAGCGTAAATTTGCCAAGATCCTTTCCTTCTAAAAAGTTGGATCGCTCCCCACGAAATACTTTCGAACACGAGATGGATCGTGTGCGAGTTGAATGGGCATAGACATCGCGAGAGCAACACGTTCGTTCCAAGTGTAAGCCACATTAAGGTCGGTTTAGATAAATGCGTCGAAAGGTGCGAGTGACTCGCGCCCTTTTGTCGCGAGGCATCTGCCCATTGACAATGGTAATGGGCGTGAAATTTCGGAAATCTCTGTTGGATCCCAAAGTCGACGACGCTGTTGGAAAGGACCACGGCGAAGGGAGCGCTGACAAATTCTGGTTTATGGCAGTCAAGACGACCAGGTGGATACAGTCTCTTGTCTGGCAGCATCTTTGCTCTAGGATAAACCGCGCGTCGTCGGTGACACTTTGCACCGTTGATACAAGTCTGCTCCGATACATTTTACTATATTTTACAGAAGCGAGAGACATTTTGAAATTCAGTGGAGACTTTTGCTACGATGAGAAGAAAGTTGAAACATAGTTTGCCAAAAGGTTCTGTTCGTTTATAAGCATATTTTAGACCCCTTCAAAGTAAAACTAAAACTACAGTGCAATCTCGTATCGATGATATAATCCTTCTATTAACACGGAATGACACGAGATTCTTCTGGAACTAAATTTTCTCAGCTGCAGGTATACATCGCGGAACAGAAACGATTTCAGTGGCGCAAAGGGAGGCGTTGTCGCGTGAAATCGTGTCTACCCAAAATATTTGTATTTTTCGTGCATTGTCCATTCACGCGAGGCATTGTCGCTGGCCATGGGTCCATGGGATGCACGACAGCGTTACAGAATGGCCTGCGGTCACGAAATTTTCGTGAATGAGTGTGGCACCCCAATCGGTAGCCCACCCAAATCGCTTAAATATCTTTGAATGTTCCAACTTGCCCTAAACTTAACGGTTCGCGATTCGATCCAGAAAAAAAAAGGGCACCAATTCGATTATCGACAAAGACAACGTCCGGAAACGTCGTCCAGGTGAATCGGAAGGCGACGAGAATTCGCAGAGGACGCGTTTAAAAGGTGATGGCGAGACAAGTCCCGAGGAGAACATAGAGGCGGAAAAGACGAGGTGTGTTACTGCGCAAGAAGCTCAGGACCGGTGAGCGCATGATCCTCCTGAGGCTCGTAAGGTGAGGAGAGCAGCTAATAAGGCGTATCAGTTACCAAGGAGACGAGCTTCTCCTTAACGGCGAAGAAGAATGGCGGACCAGAGCAAGAAGAGGAACTCGGTTGGAAAACTCATAAGTTTCAATTTACTCGGGGATCAGCGTCCTCCGACGAGCTCTACCGAGCAAACGGTACGCCTTATATTGATTTTTGTGCATTTCGACGTTCCCTGGAACGTTTCCACTTCTCGGAGGACGAACACCCTTTCAGCCGGAGAATGCCGGGTTAAAAATCACGTCTACAGGTTTGGAATCCACATAAGCATTTTTGGTATACGTTGCGGTAACTCCTCCATCTCGTCGACTGGAATCCTGTCCAGGATAGGGCTCGAACAAAATTAAACTCAACGTTTGACGCGTAACATGGTCACTATGCACTGTTTGTTTTGCTGCAACCGCGAAACGATTCCACGATCCGCGACGCGAACCTCTTCGTCATGCGTTCAATTTTAACTGACTGTCTCATTCATCGTCTTTCGCAATTCTTCGCACCCACGCGTGGATCCCTATTGCTGATTTTTAACTACGCGACGCCTTGATCTTCGACAAGGTGAAGCGACGTTACACCTTGGTTACTTTTCGGAAACACGTGTCGTTTTCGTTTGCAGCGATGCTACTTCGTATCTTTCTATGCCAAGGGTGTTCCGATGCACATTTATTCGGAGACAGAAGCACTGTTTGTTATCCAGCGTAAAAATGGAACGCATCCTTGTCGCAAAGAGAGAAGATGAGAAACGACAGAGTATTTTTCTGTAAGTTACACGCGACACAAGTACGTCGAAACGTGCCACCCTGTATGTAATGGCGACGGTGTGGGTGATGTGAAACGCAGACGTCTAAATTTGAAACGGGACTGAAGCGAAGAGCTGAGAATTAGGTCAAGCGCTAAGAATTAGGCTGTAGGAACGTTTATGGGTTCGCGTAGAGTAACTTACAATTAGAGTAAGGTAAATCACGATTAAAAACTGTAAAATCCCGTATCGAATTTTAAATTGTGGTATGTTCGAAGGAAATTCACCGAACCAAACTTTCGTAACCGTCTTTCTTAGTTCGCGCTACCGTGTACCATTGACCAATGTTCGCTATTAGCGCGCCAACAGGAAATCTTTGATTTCTTATGCAACGTAACATTCCTGCTGCAGTTTACTTGTCGATGAGATTGGCAGATATCTTCGATCTTAATCGAACTAGAAAATCGATGTTTTTGGCAGATAGTGTAAGCGTTCGTATCAGAAAGACGATATAATGTGGCCTCGAATTTCGTTAGAATGTAGAATTTTTATGTAAATGGCGTTAGTGGATTCACATGCCACGATGGAAACGCGTCATGGGGGCCTATCAACATCGCGCACGCCAGAGTCTGGCCGTGGCCGAATTGAAAATAAATACACCTCATGCCTACCTGTATCGCCGGGTCGACCGGTACACGGCAACAAAAATAGAGTTGCATTTGGAGCACCCGGTATATGCGTGCTAGGAGGTCGGAGCGTATGACCGAAGAGTGCCAAATCTAGAAGATCACCTTTCTTCCGTCCTTCTTACGAGTTTCGGTTAACTATCGCTCCGTTCAACGTATTTCAACATTTTACGATTCCAATGCACGAAACAATTTTGGTAATTCGCTCCTTCTCCAACCTGTTCGAGCAACGTGATCAATGCGTGAACGTTAAATGGATAATAGATCGAAAACACAGTCTCTTTCAGATTGGGATGCTTCGTCAAATGGTTAAAATTAGTTAATACAAGTCGAAAGCAACGACTGCACAGCGATGTATGGCCAGCTTTCAGTTTCTCTTATTTTCATCAGCTCGGTATTTCAGTGTTTCAGTAGCGTCATCGTATCAATCATGTCTCGGTGTATTCGTGTCCAGTGACGTACAATTTAAAGATCACCCGACGTCACCGTGGTGTATTTAAACAGATGTATTTACACCACCGTCGAGCTCGAATCCATTAGTCAGCTTCAAATCCCGAACGGTGCGATAAATCCCCAATGGCAGCGAGTCATTAATATCGAACGAATTCAAACAGATTTACTACGTTTTGGCCTACACTCGAAACCCTCCTCGAGAAGCTGAACGATCGACGCGAACGAATTAAAAATAAATCCATAAAAATGAACGATGCACGTTTTATATTTGGTAGCTTATACTTTGCTGATTCATAGAATACGTTTGCTCTAACGTTCTCCAATTAAGAATAGCCATCGTTACGAGGAAGACACCCAATAGAAGCCAAAATTTCCTTCGAATATAACGTAAACATTATATTTCGACTCGGCACGTGCAATGACATTTTCGCGACAAATATACATACACCGCCTTGAACAGCGCCTCGCCTCAAGGACCGAAACACTGGATACTGCCAATGTCAATTTAGCTCGACGTTACGTATCAAAAAAGTTCTGAAAATCAGACGCGCTGAAAGACGAGATAATTCATCCCAAATGTTTATCGGAGGATCGTTGATTGACCGAGAGCGTAACTTGCCAATACAATGTGAGACTTCCTATACCGTAATGTTTCCTAATTCAATTACGGTCTGTATCGTTGGGACGACGGGATCTTAACGATTCGTTCGACGTATAGAGATAGCTAGACCGCTAAATTGCGCATATGTCTTCCTCCTGGTATGGCAACGTATTTATGATTTGACGAGTATAGGCTTGTATACAAACGGATCAACAACTACCCGCGCTTAATTAACGACTGACTCACGATCAAGTGTTTGGACGATTGTATACGATCGAATCAACGTCTCGTGATCGATGGATACAACTGTAACGTCTGTTTACGAGTTTCTTCCGTGTCAAGAATGCAACGGCGTTGATGTTGTTTTCGATACTTCTATTTAAGGGCGTACATGTGTATAGCGAGTGCGTGGCTCGTGAATTCAACTGATTAAATTTAGTTAACTGTCATTCCTCCACCTATAGATAAGATCCCAGTTATCCCGTAACCTTGACTTTGCTGCACGCGGATGCTCGAGATCGGTTGCAAAAGAACGATCGTAATTCGAGCGAAATTTCGCGGAATTAGGAATCGATCAGAGGGCTGAAAAAGTGTGGGAAGAGGCGCGAAGAAAGAGGAATGCGTGGGCGTGCAAAATAGCGACCGCGAGGATTCGCCGAGGTGGAAACTAAACGGACGCGCAAAACGTAATCAGGGAAAAACGGAAGGTTCCTCTTGCGCGGGGCTGATCGACCAATCGCGATCCGTTGGCGGGGGTTGTGCCATAAATGTCGCGTGGCGAGACGCGGAAACTCGCCGCTGGTCGGCGCCACCGTACCGACGTCCGGTATACTAGTCCACATTTTTGGCGGCAGCCGCCCAGTCTAAGGTCCAATCTCCGAACCGAACGGTCGTCCGAAATACTTAGGTAAAAGACCTCATCTCCATCGACCACCGGTCAAAGCTCGAGTTTATTTGCCATATTTTTCTCTCTATTATTTTCTTTTTTTTTTTTTTGTTTTTCTGTTCGTTGTCACTTGGTTAACGAAACGAACATTTTCTTTCACCGGCGAGAAATCGATCTCGACCGTCTCTGTGCCACGCATGAACACGCAAAATCGAGAAAGAGATCCGTATACCCAGAGAGGGTTGGGGCAGAACTTATTGTTAGAGACAACGTACGCGAGTGCGACACTCGAGGTCGAACCGACCGACACGCTACGAGAGACGGTTTCTTCTACGAGAGGGAAGATCGAAGATCGTTCATCGTCACGTTCGCATTCTACCGATGCTCGTTTGTGCGACAGTGAAAAAAAAGAGGAAACGCCTGACTGGACGTGGTTCTGCCGCTGCTTGTCCTCTGCGTATATTTAGTAGGAATTCGCTCTTCCATTAACCTAGACAGACTGCGCTGTTTTCGTCTACTCACACGTACCCAGTTGCGTTTCATATCGCTCCCTATACACCCTTGCGAATATTTTTAGAACTAATTGATGCTACTAACCACTCGACGATAACGCTAATCGCGGCGTGAGCCACTCGGCCTTCGCGCTTGCTCGATGAGATGAAAACGACCAAAAGTATCGTATTATTTGAAAATCAAGAATTATTAGAAATACGATAAATACACCATGATCGAACGATCGTTCCCGTCTCATCGAATTTTTATCCAATCCCTATATACCACGATAATATGCACGCCAACGATTGTATGTATTATAACAGCTACCCCTCCCCAATTATAACACCGTACCTCCTACCTCCCGTGTGACAAAATCTGTTTTTTGCTATTTTTATCGATACAAACCACATGCAAGTGCGTGCCTGGGGGAACGACTCCGGTGAAATTGGAGTACAAGGTTACCTCGACACACAACGAGCCAGAAAATGGTGTTGAATGGCCGTGTAAAACGACACGGTCGAAAAAACAGTAAAATTACGCTTAAATAAATATCGAAACAGTGCGTGGTTGCGTCACCGTTCTCTCCATACCTAGTGTATTATCGTCAAACTTTGTCCAGTTTGTTTAAGCAGTGTGAAGTGGCAGTTGACGCGGTGATCGCGATCGATTTATCATCGTCTCGTTCGAAACTCGCGAAATATCGTCCCGAATCCGTGGTTCTAATTTCGTGGAGGCGCGCTCGCAATAGTTGGCGCGACGCGCGTCTCGATTTCGCCCCGATCGCATACCAATTCAAGGCAGACTTCGATGGCTGCCGCGTCCACGACACTTCTCGAAAGGTGGACACGGTCGAGTTCGTTGCCAATCACAACCGGCCGAATTGTTTATAATAATTGGCAGCAATTTGTTTGGTAGTTATGTAACGTGCCGCAGTGTACTTATACCGTCGGATAAAAATAGCTAGGGGCCCTCGAGTGCCGCCAAGTCCGTTGTGTCTGTTATAACCGCTCCCTTTCTACGGTTAAATAATTTTTGCCAATGATTAGCGCCATCTCGCGTCATCTACTTTTTCTAGCGTCATCTATTTCTTGCTGGCGCCTGTAAAGCACCGTGGAATGCGTTTTACCGAAGGAATGGCGCGCGTACCGTTTGGATCCGTTAAATAAAAGTTACATTTTCAGTCACGGAATAACTCGTACGTTTTATTTGTAGCGATGCTTTCGTGGTTGAAGGAAAATTAATAACAATCGTGATCGATTGTAGTTAGAAGATATACATAGGTGGACCGGTATAGAGTCGAGTTTGTGTTCTATTCTGTCGAATGTTACAGTTTCACCATGGAGTGAATGTTTTGCAAAGAGTCTTGCACGTTTAAAATTTCCACGAGGTACCGCGTATAAAATTACAAGCACCTAGAAAGACACGCTCCAGATTGCTCATTCTCTTAATATCGTTAAGTACGTCACAAGTGCCAAGAGGCGCCTCGCACCGCTTGACAAGCTAAACTGCGCGTCTGACCGAATTAAGGCGTCACTACTTTCGGCTACATCCGGCTAAATATAACGTCGCGAAAAGGCTACTTTCTAGTCGAAGCGGAACTTGGATCTCGAACCAAAACAATTATAATCGGCTACTAGCATCATTCTATCGACTAATCTACTTTGAAATATGTCTGTCCAAGTATGTACTTGAGTTTACTGACATCATTTATTTAGGTCAACTATCCATCGAAAGATTTACGATTCTCAGTTTCGAAATGTGGTTCGCTATAAATTGTATCCAGATTTCGATTTAATGATTCAACCTAATTTCGACCTTTTCCAGTACTCGAACAATTAAACGATAAACAGGGGATGGAAAGCTTCAAGTAATGGACTACTCTGAGCAATCAAAGCTTACGTCTTCAAGGGAACAGAGCAGGTTTATAATCATTCCGTCAGTCAGGGCTGATCGAAAAATGAATTACCCATTCTGCTAGGCAAAGTTCGATAACTATACGAACCTGGTGCTATTGATTTCCTAAGGGCTTCCCCAGAACTCTACTCGAGCTGTACGATAGAAAACTTTTGATACAACTAGGCAGTCGCTATATTCTAGTAACACCGTTTCACGCGTTTCACCACAACGTGTCGTGTTCGTTGTCTTTTCAGCCGACGGTTAAAGTTTCCGCATCGTAGACCGATACGCCAAAGTTTCCCTCGTTTCTGAGGTGGTGTCGGGTCTCGTGCACCCTTTAACGAGTCACGCGAGACGGCCAGCTTCGCTTATAAAACTTGAAGAAGCGCACGCTCGGGGAATTTGTTCGGTTCCTGTCGAGTTCTCGACGCGAGCCGGTTTTCTAGCACTACTACTACATTTGCGAGCCATGGATGTATGCTTTGGCAAGTGAACTCGGAACTGTCAACGAGCTTTCAAATGAGAATCTAGAGGACATCGTAAATTAAAATTTGTCGCAACGATCTGGCCTATAATTGCTGGGAATAAGGGTAGAATGACGAAATCGTTTTGGTTTTCGTAGACTCGGTTCCATGTCTAGTCTAGGTTTATTAGTGATCTCTGAATACACTGAATCCTCGAATTTACAATGAATCGATAGGACGAACCGCTACAAACAATAGGTTACCTATGTCAATATCAGCCAGGGTAGAAGGAAAGGACAGGTGAAAGTGCGTCTATCGCTATCGCCTGTCACCGAAGAAATCCACGTGTCTACCGAGAGTCTGGCAAATGCCTCGGTTATTCGATTCTTTTGCTCTCACTGCAATTTTGCGAACGCCACGATGACGCATCCAAGTAGAACGCGCAGAAAGCTACGCGTCTGTGTACCTATGAAAAGGTATGCCAGTCGGGACGTATTTCAGTTTTTGGACCTACGCCCCAGATGATTTGCTTGACCGCGCCGCGTGTATTTTTAGAAGCCATCTAGATTACACACGCGTCCGGATGGGGATGTATACCCGCCTCCCCGATTCGAGTTCCTATCGCGGTCTCGCTTCCACCATCGCTGTATTTTTAGAAAAAAATCGAATTCTCGCAAACTAACTACCTCGATACGCAGTTGAACCAAACGAGGGACGATAAAACGTATTTTGTGAATGGACGTTGTACTTGAAATCAAGAAGAACGCGGTTGACCCCGTTTTCCAGGTGGAACGTATTTCTACTCCGGTATTCCGAGTGACAAACTCCGCGCAACTGTTTGCTACTAACTGTTTCGATATCTAGAGGATCCATGGTTAACGAGATGATGTATCGTTAGACGCCTGTAGACGCGCGTTGAAAAGCACTCGTGACGAAAAGTAAACTAACTAACTCTGCTAGTTGTAAGTTAAGTTCTCGCGAAGCAGTAAATTTGCGACATTGATATCGAGCGATTTAAGGTACTCGAGATCCTTGTATGGGCTGTCGATCGTTCGATTATCTTAAGCGGTGTAACTGTCACGCTCGCGAGTAAAAATAGAGAATTCTATAAATTGGAGGAAAACAGCGACGGACGTTTAATGGGTCATTATCGTCACGACGCGACGGTGCGCGGCATAAAGGAGCCCATTCCAATGGGAGTTGGTGAAAATCGGTCAAAGTCAACCGGAGACCCGTCGGCTATGCTGCCTTCGCACAGCTTGGATGTCCACCTGTTTCCGACTAAAAACGGACCGGGGCCCGGGCAGCCTAAATATAGCGACCGCGAATCCGGGACTCTTACGTCACGACGCATCGTTTGCGACCACGACCACCGAGCTTTCTTATTTTTCCCCTTTTCTCGACGTTACGCGACCATTGGCGTATGCCATTGTTATCGACTTCAACGATTCCAACGGACATCCGAGTATCCGATTAACGCTAACGACCATTTTCAAATCATTTCAATTTTGCTTATTTTCTTACATAAAATGTATAAATAATATACCATTGTTTCGTGTATTATTCGATTTAGTAATAAATAAATATTTAGTGAAATATTTTTCCATTCGATAGATAAAGTAGTGTGTGTAGAATCAGTCATTTGATCGATCGAGGTGGAAATAGGTACATATTTAAAATAAAATGTCGGTATACATTTGTGTGATTACCGACTGACGAAACACTTGCTCTACTGACGCAGACCCTAGAGACACCTGTTAATACAATCGAACAGTATTTTATTCTCACGAATAGAGAAATAGGTGGTGCCACCATCTAACGCGACAAATGGAATAAAATACTTGGTCAAAAAATTGTCGATGATATTCTAACTGACTTTCAATCTTTCTCAAACGATAATTACACGAAGCATTATCTATTCACACGTCAGATATGTGTCATACATTGAATAAATGTGTCTCCTGCATGATTTTTGAACGTTTTACGAGAAAATTAACATAAAACGTGTCTCTCACCCCTCTTCCAGAAAGATAGCGTTGTCTCGGTTGTCAGCTTCTCTGGCCTCGTGTACTAGGACTGGATCGTAGATCGCGCTGGTTAATCTAAGACAGAAAACAAAGAAATATTAATATCTCGTTCGAATTATTAGCAGTGTACATATTTAAATAATTCTAATACGTAAATGTAGATATTCACGATCCATCTAATTCCAAACGCCATTCAATTTCGAGTTCGTCACGTTTATGTTCGAAGATATACATATAAATTATTAACGATTATTTAACAGAGCAACTAACCTCGATAAACAAAGTCGCCTAATGTGTAATTAGATCCATTTTGGTGTTAATTAAACGCTTAATGTCAATTATTTAAACGTTGAACATGTAACAAGCAGCTTGGTTATACCCCGCGCAAACACTTCCCGTACTGAATTTCGAAATCAGCCGTGCCAACCTTTCAAAAATGAACATTCCCATCGATGGCAATTGACATGTTTAAAACAAAAAACTTCAAATTCCGATTGGATTCGACAAATTCCTAATGATTAATTTCATCGTTAGTAAGGTATATTTTGAATTAGGATTGGTAAAATGATTACCAGAGATTAGAAATTACTAGAAGCAACTAGATTAATGGCCGGAAATGGATCCGATCGCTGGAAATAAATGTTTGAAGAAAGACGATTAATTTATATTACGTATTCCAAATTTACTCGGTTGACCTTCGATCGCTCTTGCCGAGAATGAAATAGGAATACGTGCGAAAGCGTCGGATGATCCAGGCCGAGTATGAGTGCGAGTGTTGCTAAAATTAGCTGCGCAGTTGCGTCAACAAAAAGAAAAGACGATGCTCCTGTTTGTGTCGCAGTCCTCGATTGGCTGATCCGGGGAATGCCGCGGCCAATCCTAATACCCGTAATACTATTCGGTATTCGAAAACGGAACGATAGTAATTTTCGAACGCGGGAACTAAATTCAGATTTTCGCGTCTCATTCAATCAACTATCTCATTGATATTTTACTCGTTGATGTACCATCCAACTTTTACTCTGTACGTTTATGAATTACATTTCTGAATTAACTCAATGATTCTTAAGAACAATAAATCGATTTGTTGTTTTTAAAACTCAGTAACTTTCAGCAAGCAACGATTCGTATATTATTAGATTTAGAATAGAACCATTTCTTTTCAATGTCGTGAACATACACAATTGCAAAATCGTCTTTACTAAAAATTACGAAGAAATCGACCGTGAAAAATTGACACGCTATTCTTAGAAAACGACACGATGCCAGCAAACGCCTTTGCGGATAATCGTCGATAATTCTCGTATTTTTAGCTGGTTGACAGCCTGCTAGCGTTGCAAACTCTAAAATTGTCGAATTCGAGATGCCATCGCACTCGTGTTTTTACTTACATATATGTTGTTAACGGAATTAGAGAAATCGCGTCAATGGACAATTTCGTGAACTGAATCAAACATTAACGCACTTGAATGCATTTGCAATATTTACTCCCATGCCCGATAAAATTCCATACTGTTACAGGAAGAGCGATTTTCACTTTTCAAAGTAAATAGTATCACGTCGAAATTCGTGAACGATCTTCCTTTTCTGACGCCAAGTTAGGTCGCGTGGCACGTCTGGCCAAGTTGAAGCAAGGAAATACGCCAATACAAAAATAATGCAAAACTCGATTCAAGGTACTTAATCAAGCCTGCCTTCGTTTGTTTCAGCGAACGAGTGAGTTTAACAGTTCAGTAGAGCGGTAAAATGGACGCGCGCTTCAGAAGCAATCTCGACATGATTGGGCGCAACGAGCCCATCACAAGGAAAGCCAAATTCTGGCAAAGTTATGTCCGAGCCTTAAAAGGTGTGTTCTATATTCTCCAAGTAAACCCAAGTAAAAATTGTCCATTCTTTATAAATAACAAAATGTATACCACGCTACGATGCAGATCTATTGGCATCCACGAGTAGACTTTACCTTGAAGGTCCTCGACCCTTCCTCTATTTCTGCTTCCTATCGTAGCTGTTCTCAATCTACTACCTGTAACATATATACGTTTTCGAAATAGTAAGTAAATAAATTTTTAACGATGACAGGCACCGATGATATGAGGGCTCCTGAACACACGCACAGACCCCGCAGCATTTTCCGCTCTGATTACCCTGAGCTGTCCTCCTCGTGGCCTTTCGGAAAGTCTATCTTTGAAAATCCCATTCACGCGGCCGATCGCATCAATGTTCCTGGATACAGGTACGTAATCGTAGCGCGCTTCCTCTTATTTCCACGATACAACCAAAAACATAACCATGGATCTTTAAGCTCGTAGAGATATTTATCCCGAGTGTAATCGAACACTGACCTTTCGGAGAAGAATGCTTGCTCCTAGTCGAAAGAAAATTTTCAGTTTCTGATATGTCTCTGTTAAGCGTTATCTTTCGTTTCTTTTTTAAGGTACTTGCCCGTTCACCGTGAGATCTACGGTTACTCACCGAGGCAGATCTACCCCCATCAATACAAACCTGTAGAACGCTTCACCCCCGGTACGTACTAAAGAACTCTGAGCAAAAGTCCCAAAGAGAGTGAACGACGTCTGAATTTAAAAAAAAAAAAGAAAGTCAAAACAGAACAAAAGAATCGAAAGCGCGAAACGAAACGACATACATCTCGAAAGACAAACGAGAGATTCTCACCGCTAACGGCTAAGTGAGAACGAAACCAGAAAGAAAGAACGAAACGCATGAGAAATGGAACGAAATCACCAATCGTCACTGTGTACTGTTAATCCAAATGATTATATATAACCGCTCGTTCTCGGGTTTTTTTTTTTCTAGTTTAATTAAGTACTTGTCGAATGTAACCAGGTGCTTTTGGCTTCTGGTTGAAAGAGAACAAACCGACAAAAAAATATCTTAGAAAATATAAAATGAGAAAGCATAAGGAAAGGCAAAAGGCATAGCGGACATGTCGGAGGTGTCTGTGTCTCGCGATCGCAACCGTCCCTCCGAGGCCTTTCTCAGAAGCCAGAAACGCCACTCGGAGGTTCCGTCTCGTACCCAAAGCCTCCACCTTTGCCTGCACTCGATCGTAACTAAAAAATACAGAAAATTAGATTCTATTGTTACGTGTCATCCCCTCCGACGTGTGTGAAACGCGTATGCACCTAATCAGACCGTGTTAAGTAAACTCGAAATCATATAATATTATCGATAATCTACCTTCATACCATACCATATGTGTACCACTAATTATTACTCTACACATCTTTGTATCTAAGTTATTATACGTATATGTCGCTATATGAAAACATGCATCTACATACAAAATATATAATATGTTTAAATATGTCTAAGACTTGTCTGCTTCGCGAGTCTTTCCGTGAACGGACGAATCATTTCTCCGTCTCTTGTGTCCTCCATAAAACGAAAACATCGCTCTTCTACCTTCCAAAGACCGAATTATAGACGTCACTGCTACGCGAAACATAGGAGCAACGGCTGACATCCACCGATGATCGACGTTTCATCTCGCCAATCGAGTGTCTTATTAATCGACTCTGCTGTACACCAGAGATGGGCAAAGTCTGGTTTGAGTAACTAATAACGATTAACTTCGTAACAGCGGATGAGGAATGGTCGCTTGACTATACGAAACTCGATCGATACTAGAATGAACGTTTACACCAAGGAAACATTTGTCGTAATTGAAATTTGTTTGTGATAGTTGAAAATTAATTTTAACGTCACTTAATCGCCATAACCGCGCTGCAGCATCGCATAACATAATTTCGACTAGAATGGTAAACGAGTGTTAGGACGAGTGGACAAATGACGTATGTAGATTGTAGTGGCCATTTCTGTTTTCTATAATAAGCGACAAACTTGGGCAAGTGTGACGAACGCGGTAGTAATAGGGACAGTAGAGCCAGTAGCAATGAATTAACAAACAAATTAATGCGATTAACTAATCAAGTGAAACATTGGTGGATGTGTCGCACCTGTTCGATGACTCAACGCACGCGAATGTGTCGACGGATGGGAACGGCGACGACCTACGAATCAGACGACAGACGAAACGATCGAGCCATCATGGATCATCGTTCATCAATCACCGATCATAAAGATCATCTTTGTTCGTCGATCGCCCAGAAACAAAAATCGATAAGCTGACCCGCTTCCAGGGTTAAAACATGGACAGCTCTGATTCTAATTTCTTTCCAGGCACTAGACCAAACATGTGGCAATTTCTCAAACGCACCATCGATTTGAGCGACCTTAGGCGACAACAAATTATACGACACTGGCAGACGAATGAGCGAAACGTGCTTACTACGCGAGTGCAACTTCGTCATTGCTTACGGAGAAAGTTCTACTAACCGTGATCATCCCTCTACCAATCTCTTCTAACACTCGACTAATCACCAAACTCGATTAACGTCTTGACCTTGAGTATTTCATACACGACACACAGGACAAGTCAGAATACGAAAGACTTTTGTTAGAAATCATCAGTTCTGTCATCGGAAATCGGTATATACTCGCTCCAATGGTCTCATGTTTTCACGACAATCCAGATCTTACAGATATAAAATAATAATTGGCCAGGATCATTCGTCGCATAGGTATTAACAAATTAACGCATACCCTTGACACTTTATCCAATCTTTCTCGTCGATAAAAGCCAAGCAGAGCTTGGATACAAGCGCACACACCGTATTCTCTCTATCGTTGTGTTCAAACGATCGGCAAGAAAATGTGACGACCTTCCACGGTTCAAAGAACCAAGGAGAAGAAATAATTTGCGATCGAAACCATCTTGAAACAGTGGCCAATCAAGATTTCACAAGCACGAGAAAACTGCTGTATACCGATACGTCAAATTTTTAATAAAGTTAATATGGCACCGAGAAACAAGACCAATTTGATGACGATTTTGAACTTTTTCTCGATGATTTTACCAATTTTTGTTCCATGTGACCGTGAGTTTTTGTCCAATCGTTACTTAGATTTTTGTAACATTTTTATAAGCGTCGTTTATTTTTTTTTGCGATGGAATGTTTTCGTCACGTTTCGCTAACGACGCTAATAGTACACTATTTTTACGTTTTTGGGGTGAGTGGAAGGTTAATATCTAATGAATATTTGGCTACTGCGAGAAACTGTCTGGAAAATTAAATCTTGCAGCTGAGGTGGAGGTCGCCGTTTGATTTGAAGTAACAAGCGCCTCGAATTTGGATCGTGAAATAATCGCCAAAAAGAAGCGAAAAGTTTTTGAAAATTTTCACAAGTAGAAAGGAGTGCCTGACGCAAAACAAAATGTGACTGTATGGCGAGAGTTCGAACTCAAAGACAGCGGAAAGAGACTGTAGTAAGAGAGCGAAGTACACGAGAAAGTAATTCATGAAGCCCAAACAAAGAAATAAACTAGAATTCACAATGGCCGCCAAACTTGAAAAAGCTGGAAATTTTCTCACGACGCTTTTGCGTTTTAATTTCTACTACCGATTTTTTCCGTTAAACGTCGTCGCTTGTCTCCCCTTATTGTGAGCAGTAATAAAAAATAGAGTAGCGTTTACGATGAGTAAAAAGGCAGACGCAAAGACGATAGGAAAGAATTGATAGCGACTGTATTAATACACGCTCTAATTTATAATAATGCGCACGCGAATCGAGCATTCTTTTTACTAACAAACGACAGACAGTGCAATTAATTTCAACCAAATCCAGAAATTTCTATCTTTTTCAGGAGTTGGCATGTACTCTTTTTTAAGCCCAACCCCGTCCACCCCTGACCTTTACCAGCTTAAGTAATCCAACTATATAGGCTGTCCTATAAATACATGGTATGAACCAGAAGCAGAGGAATCCTTTCGAAAAGATAAATCAAGAATATAGAATCTCAATAGCTTCGATTTCTTTCATCTATCTATGGGACAGCCTGTATGGCTTTACCCTATGGCAGTACTTATCGATACTAATTAATTGGGCGATTAGAAACCACGATGGTGTAGAAAAAAACACATTACGAACTGTCACATAATAGTACTATTAAATAAAAGTCGCAAGAGGAATCGATATTAAGAGATTCAGGCAACGATTACCGATACTTTCATTAATTGGTAGCCAGAGGAGCTTTTCGATAGTTCACAGAAATAATATTTGGTACACGAGAGACGATGCTAATCGATCGGTAGCGGCTAGACAGTGTGTCAGTTGAATCGAGTAATTATTTTTCGGAAATTTCGAGCTGAACCACAGCTTTTTTCCGTCACCTCTCCGTCGGGGGAGGACGATTTTTTGAAGCAGTATTTTTTGGTCCTGTCAGGTCAGTATGCTTTTTCTCCACAGCTACACGTGACGTCGTGTTATTTTTCTTTTACTTTTTTTTTCTATCTTTTTTTATTTTGTGAGAGCGTCGAGATTTTTCTTTTGTCCTCGAAGGAAAGAATTCCGCGAACACCCTAAGCTTTCAGAGGCTAAATTTGTTTTATTTTTTTTTAAGTAGGAGAAACACGCACGGCTGACTACTACACGAAACAGGGACAGAACCCTCGCGCTCTAACACTTTGCGATCCGATTAACTCGTTACGTCCATGTCGGTGTCCTGTGAGAACGAAATTCGGCACGTTAACCTGTTTATTCATTTTTTACGTTGATGTAAAAATGTTGCATGAAACTACAGGTTGATCTAAGAATAGCGGTTGAAAAAAATATCACAAGCTTCTGCATCCGGTTCCCATGTTTTAGATCACCCTGTACATTCTTGATAAATAGTCCAACTATCTTATAACGAATGCACTGTCGCTAACTAGAAAGACATTTCTTTAACGTGAAACAGGCGCTTGACGCTAACACACTAATCAAGAGAAAATTCAGGCCACACGGCGAACCGATCAACCGATGGTACGCACGGTTTTGATACGAGATGTCGTGATCGTTCGTAGATTGTAGATTATGGTATACAGAATGATTAATTGGAGAAAAAACAAATGGACGAGAGGAATCCATAGTTTAGTGATATGTTGTTATGTGGACTTGTTATTTTTTTTTTTTTTGTAGCGCAACAGATCGGATCATATCGATCGATATGGATCCTCTTCAGTGCGAAAGAAAGGATGCAACCATTTCAAAGAACTTTCTTTCCCCCTTAAATACATGTGCGTTTTAGAAATTTCGTGCGTCCTTCTTTTGCTCGAAGATGCAAGAACGTTTTTTCAAACGTTCATCGACAAACTAAACAATTTTAATCGTGGTAGTAGACGAAGAACGTTTGGAAACACGCTTCGCTGTTTATAAGTACATCTACAGCATCCCTGCACGGAATCAGCCGAACAGCGAAAAATGAAAAATTAGACGATCTTGTTGGTCAATAATAGGGTAGAGCATGAATTCGGAAGAAGGAACCAGTCGTCAAAAATAAACGAAACACTGTGATCACCAGTGATATCTTTGCTGAGGTCTTCGAACAATGTGTTGCAATTTCTCAAGAGTTACATCCTCTAATTATTTTGAGCAGCATATCTCGCCGCGTTCGCAAGGTTCGGTTTACCCGGCGGGGATGCTTGTTTAGTTGCCACGAATTTTTGTTTCAATGCCATAAATATCACGATACAGCGAAACCATTCGACCCTGAGAAAGCTTGGACCGACCATCTGAACCGTTTGGCAGACATCGACAGGATGTACCCAAGCAAAACGCCTCTACTCTCTCGGCATATAAGCCCTCCGCTCAGTGCGAAACGATTGTTCGACATCCACGGTGAGTACTCCTCGTTGTGGTACTTGAGTCGAGAGACGAGACCAGTAGACAGTTTCCCTTCAGCCCCGAACTTTAACAACTGAACAAAACATCTCTCTGATAAATTAAATTGTATTTAATTAGTACAGCGTTGAGAGTTGTTAGTGGTGGTCGGTGAATCGGATCGAGGGGAAGTTGTATCCAGTCTTAAAAATTGTGTGCGGAAACTCGTCTTTTGTGGAATCACAGAAAATAGTGGGATCATCTAAATTTTAATGAAATCAGCTTTAAGTTGTTTAAGATAGTGCGAGAATACCGAATAGGTATCTTCGATGCACAGTTGTCTATTTCGATTCTGGATATTACGTTAAATATGTAGTTGGATAACGCGATACCGTACAAGTGTTCCGACAGTGACAAGTATTGTAATTCCATATGATGAAATACTTGAGCCGCGGTGATTGACAACTACCAACAGAAACGATATAAATGTAGCAGTTGTTCTTTTAAATGGCTCTTCAAAATAATTGTTACACCCCTAATGACTGGTGCTTATTACGCAATCGAAGCAAGGATTCATTAAAATTCGGAAGACCTGGATAATGTAGAATAGCTCGCAATTTGACAAACGTGTTTTCGAGAATGTTGTTTAATTTCAGGTAACCTGTTATTCGATAACGATTTCTTACCGTCTTTCTCTACATTGCTTCGGAGGAAGCCTTTATTCGACCTTCTCGAACCATCACCAATGGCACCGGTCAGTGCGTTCACCAGAGACCCATGGTGGTACCCGAGCTACGCTCCTTATATCCCGGGCTATGCTCAAAGAGCCACCCCGTTCTATCTAAGGGACAGTTACCTTAGCCCTGTAAAGCGTAGCTACCTGTGGAGCCGACATCCAATCAGGCCTCTCGGTATGTACACTTTTCTTTCATTATCCCCGACACTACAGCAATACGTGATCGCTCTTTATCTGGAGAAGTTACAGCTATGTCGTAAATCTTGAAAATTGGGGGAAGGTATGGGACCTATTTAGCTCGGAGCTTCGTAATTGATGTACAGGAGGAAGGTAATTATTTCTCCAGACGGAAAGCGAAACTGTTGACCTGAAAAAAGAAAAGACAAAAGTTAGAAGAGTAACAACTTTTGGATTTCTATTCTCGGTGTTTGTTGCGAAATCAAAAGAAGAAACTGTTCGCAGAAACACGAAACGCGTGATAATTGTTGCGCTATCGCTACTTATGACATCAGTTCTTAAAGCGTACATACAAATTTAACGATTATTTTGAGATCTCCTTCGCGCAAAGTCTTCCGTGCTCGCATTCTTTTCGTTACGTAACGCCGAAAAAATTACATTTGGCATTATCTAAACAGTTGTTTTGCGTGTTGGCACGCGCGCAGATATTGTTGTATCTTAAACAATCCGCGAAATTCGCGAAAGCTCGTGCCAACCGCGACCGTCGACTTGCAACGTTTAGCCAAATGATTTTTTTGCTTTTTGACACTTTTGACAAATCGATTAACCGCGTCGAGTAGACGGGTCTCTATTAAAATTGCTAACGTTAAATAGCGTAATGAACTTTGAAATTTACACGAGTTTCGCAGTTAGTTCGAGAAACGTTAAAGGAGCATCTCAAGATAGAAAAATTACGATTCGTACAATGACGCGTTTCGCTATTATTAAGGGAGGCAATGATTATTTCGAGAGACTTGAAAGAAATTAATCGCGTTGCTTTTCCTCGACTCGTTCAGTAAACTTCATAAACTCCAATAACAATGCTGCTGAGTTCGCAGCATTGTTTTGTCCCGACGAGGCTTCACCTTGATACGAAGCCCTGTGCTAAGTCGATCAATCGTTGTTTACGTTGCAAATTTTCCTACTGCTCGCGTTTAATTTGTCGACGAATCGTGGAAACTGAAAATAAGTGAATTTTCGCGACGGATGACGAGTCGACGTCGAGTAAGAGAGGAAACAGAAAATTCATCAGTAAACGTAAATGATACGGAACACGAATATGTTTGTTATATTTCAGGAGCGTTATACTACTATTATTCGCAGCCAGTTCCACGATTTCACTTTAGCAGCCCGTGGTACAATAAACGTACCACATATTAAGAAAAAAAAGTGAGCGATAAGATTAAAATGTGGCCAAGTGTTTTGTCCCCTCATCCTTTACTCGTTAATATAGTAAACAAATAATAATCGAAAACAGACGATGACGTCATCGCTGTGCATATTTCTGGTTACGATTAGATGTACTTTATGATTAACACGCAGCTAAACGTAACAAGCATTAATAAGAACAACAAAAATATCAGTTTGAACAAAACCCGTGTTACGTGGTTTGTTCGGACGAATGTAAGCAGCGTCGATCTTAACCGTGTCATCGTAAAATCATGAATCATTTGTTCGTTACGTTACGTTACGTTACGAGATACATAATCATCCAATTAAAACAAAGAAGAATTGTGTTTAAGCAGCGCCACACAGCTGTCTGTATTTTGTACGTGACTTACGTGCCTGTATTTCCAACGTTCCCTTCTAATAGGTCTGTTTACTCGAAACGTGTTCCTCTATGTACACTTTCATTTGACTAATATGTATATACATATACACATGTACATACCGATGGAAAATCGAGCCCGTCCCCTGCAGAGACAGATACTCCCGGAATTTTAATAAGCCCCTAGCATCCAGTTCTCGCAAGAGCTCTGCTCCGTCAATAGTTTGTGTTTTTGCAGACTATGTTCGAACTTAACACAAGCTTTAGATGTAACTCGAGATATCGACTGACACCGACAACTCGATCTGTGTCAACCACTCATTTTCCATTGTGAAGATTCTCCTATCTCCCCCCCTCCCCCCTCCCCCCCTCGCCCTCTTCAAACGTATTCTAATTCGTATTACATCAATTGTGTCCCAGTTTACGCTTTGAGAGTTCTACGAAAGCCGTGCATCCCTTTCAAATAACAAACATTGTGCTTACAATCAAAAATACGGTCACGTTAACAGAACTCTCGAAGCTACTTTCGCATCGTTTTCCTTTTTCATCGATTGATTTTTGTGCCTGATAGATCAATCGGTCTTTTTTCCAGCTCACGTCTACTGATGACTGTGTCGCCCCACATGGAACGCATGATACGAAAAGAAGCGATGAAAAAAGTGAAATAAAACCACGAAAAAATAAAACAAAAAATAGATATGAAACAGTATTCGCATCGTATCCCAAAAAACCGTTCGACACCTATTGCCTGACTCTTTGTCTTTTGTTTCTCACAGTGCGTACCATCGTCCACGGAGTTTTATTTATTAACATTTCTCGACACCATGGTTTATTGTACTCTTCATACGTACTGTCTACGAATAAAATAAACACTGCCCAAATTTTACTACAAGATGTTCCTTTCTTCGACAACGCGGATAACTTATCGTTATCCGTAAAAATCGACGATACGATCTAAAACGAACAACCATCGACCATGGGAACAGGTTTGTACAACAATATGCATGTTTATTATCTGAAAGTTTTACATCTTTTGGATGTCATTGCATAGACGTGCACTGCCGAGATTCGAGTACTTCATATTTATTTGCTATGTCATAAAATATCGTCGAATCTCGACCGATCAGCCTTTTACAAATATATCTGTGTACTTATATAATTTCTGAGTCTCGGACAAAACGCATATCGAGGGATCACAACCGCTTCTTTTACAATTAAACTTATAACGGGAGAGGGAAGGACAAGCCGGAGCACGGAGGGAAGACGGTCGATTAATTCGACTCGCTAAAACGTGACTGTTGCAAGTTCTTTCTATCTAAATGCTAAAAGGAGTGAATACTTTAAACGACAAAATCTCTTCGAATATGTTCATACTTTGTTTCTATTAACAGTTTCTAATAATCATCGTACAATAAATCGATACAAGTCTCGCAAATAGAAAAAATGATTCGTCTTCGCCGCTTAAATAACATTTTTAACAAACATAAATTACAAATATTTATAAACAAACTCTCGCCAATCACTTTATCGTCTAACGATGCATCGAAGTTGATTATTTCACTTTCAGATAATACGTGACTGTTGATGCTTTCACGTTTTCGGAACAAAGTGTATTCTGGCTTTATAACTCCGTCTAATATAATTTGTTTTCTTCTTAAATAGTGTATCGTTCACTGTACGCTCTTGATAAATCTTTTTAAATACTTATTCTCTATACACATCGGTGTTTGAATCATCTCTGATACTTTCTATACACGTAGTTTTTAATTATACAAATTACTTTTACATCGAACAACCTATCGAGAAAGAATACGTAGTATTTAACAACTGAGAATGTTCACCTTCCCTTGGAAAGACAAAAATCTAAATGTTTCCTGTAGTACGAAGAAAATATAATAGCTACCCTATTCGAGCTCGTAGTACGATTAATAAAATGCTGCACACGGGTATATCTAAACTAAGCGTCAAATAATTTTATTCGCGTAATAAATCCAAAAGTCAAACTATACCCCGACAAGCAAAATAACAAAACATCTGAAAGTGAAATAGTAAGTCTTCAAAAATGACAATCATCCGAGTTTTGCTTATCCAAGAAAAAGAGTAAACGTGTCTTAACTACCCCACTTATATCGATGGAAGTAAGTGGAATAGTATACCACCTATCTTTACAGCAAGATTCAAATCTCTCAGCAACCGAGATTCTTCATAAAGACAACCCCTTAATAAGTATATTTTGCATCTTAGAGAATTTTTATTTCTGTTAATCTCGCTTCTTCGTGCATACATCCTTCGAACAAAGGCGTAATGATCTGCATAGAGACATTATCTTAAAAATACTGGTTCTCTGTTTCTCTCCACCTTTTTGTTCTTGAAGAATAAACGATCTAATATTTCTACAACATACCTTGGAACGTGCTGTCAATATTGTAAAATACTGTGAACTAAGATATTAAAACCTGCATAGGCACGATATAACGAAAAAAAAAAAAAAAAGATATGGAGTGAAATGAAAGAATATCTATGTACATGACGTAGCGCCTTCAGTTAAACGATAATAATTAAGTTAGCTTCAAAGCGATGACGATAATAGTAAAATGAATATTAGGAATAATCACCAAGTCTAATAATTACACTGAACATTTAACATGGAAGCAATAAATACTCAAATGAGAATGTTGAACATTCGCGTTAAACGCTAATGGCGTAAAGGACCACCTGCATCTGCAAGGTGCAGGTAAATAATTCCCAGAAAATATCCTTATTTGAATTAATGAAAAAAGTGTCGCTTGTAATTATTATATTACTTATCTTATTAAGATGTAATCAAGGAAGAGGTAATCTTACACACTTCTCTTGACGTCTTCATGCTGAAACACGAAAAGTAATACTCATGAAAAGTATTGGCAAAGTTCAGAGTCGTTTTTGAAACGTTCCATAGCAAGCACACTCGTATAGGTTCTACGAATATACGATTACTTTTTTTAATCACTAATCAGTCAACATAATTGTATACTTAAAATATCTATATTTAAATCATACGCAAAGAAAAAAGTTAGAGCTGTATTTTAAAGTCTTCAATGATCACAAATAATTTCTGACGATCAAACAGCGCTATATCTCACCCATTGTTTTCTTACTCATTTCCCGGTGTAACTGCTGGTAGTGGTAGAGCGTATCTTACAACGTTATGCTCTTAACATTATTCTTTAATATAAATTTTGCTGTCTATTAGTTTAAGTTTCCTTAATGTTAAGTTTAATATTAAGTTCAATTCAATGAAATTAACGATAAATTTCCTTAAATGCCAAATCAATTTACCTAACACAAGAGCTTCCACTAACGGCGTTGGTGTCAAAAAGTGAGTATGAGGCTGTCATTTCTTTTTGGCTGGATTCCTTTGTGGCGTAGATGGTCTTGTGCCTTGACCTGTATTCATTGCTACAAATTGGTACTTTGCTTTCTTCTCCGACGGTTTCAATATCTGCGTATAAACGATCATCAATATACATAAATTAAAATGGAAATGTGTAATACGTATATAGCATACCGTACAAACGCAAACTCTACCTGAAAACTGCACATGAGGGTTTCGTCGACGCTCATCATTCCACCGGCGTTGTCGAACTCTCCGCAATAATTTGGCGCAGAAAACAGAGTAACCAATTGGCGCTTCGCGAAAAATTCGTAGCCATCTTCGACTACTTGATGTGCTCTACATATTAAATCCATATCGTGACGATTTAAAAACTTGGACACTACGTCCGGGCCGAACGTGAAAGAAACGCCTCTGTCGTTCTCTCCCCATCCCTACAACATAAACAATTGCGATTTATAACAGTCGTTTATATTAATAACAAACACAATCGAGCAGAGAATGTGGAAGAATTTCATACCTGGACTTCCTTATCTGGATCTGACCACAACAAATCACAGAGAAGGCCGGTGTCAGGTACGTCAGTCGGGCGCATAATTCGTTTGATTTGTTCCATGTTCTATGATACAAACGCACCAAAGTTACAAACATTTATTGGAAAAGACTTCCATTGATAATTCTTAAGAGCGCGGATAAATATAATCTTTGTACGCGAACAAGCCAGATACTAAAAAATCAATACTTCATTCTATAAGGATACTAATTTTCCATTAAAGATAAATGCAGTCTCAACTTTTACTCTCTTCCTTCTTAGAGTATAAATAGAAAATCAATAAGCGTCGTGTTTTTTTTAAATTTCTTTCATTAATGCTCGCTGAAATTTGTTATAAAGTAGTTTTATACTATAAGCTGACCATTCGTATGAGATCTTTAAACATAAAAATACGAAGGATCGTTTCGAAAAGCTTCAAGAAACAATGTGCGCGTTAACTCGTTCATCGTAAATGCATCAACGCAACGGTACGTATGTAGTTTCAATTCGTTACGAGGTGCTCTTCGAGAAGGTCGTATCGATTTTAGCACGATCCTTCCGCACGCAACATTGCAGAAATCGTTTACCCTTTGAAAAACTTGACCCTCCGTCGAATATTAAAAACGTGTACCAAAATAAAGATACACGTTCGGATTTCGAAAAAAAGCTCACGGAGAAATTAAACGATTCTCGATAACACTCGAAGGACGTTAAATTAAAGAGGTAGCAAATGCGAACACAGCATTCCCTCTAGCGTTAATTCATTTACATTCCGCGTAACTCGACGAAAAAATCGTAGCGCTAACAAAGTCTTATTTAAGACTTTAGAAATGTTTTCCTTATTATCGTTATACACGCAAGCATCTCTATTAATATAATTCGCATACTCAACAATCGATTTTGCAGGCACGGAACGATTCTCCGTATTGTACAGTTTATGGTCACTTGAAACGAAACTATCCGCGTATGACAGAGAAGGGAACACATCGCTGTTTAATAAGAAAAATAACATTCGTACTTGGTGAAATTTAATTCCGTAATGTTCGAGAACGATCTTTAGTAAATTACAACATAGAATCACCTGTAGATCTGGACTGAGCCCTCCATGGCAACAGAATATCTTTTCATCGATGATCGCAGCAATTGGCAAACAATTAAAGCAATCCGTGAACGTTTTCCATAGTTTGATGTTGTAACGTCTCTTGCATTCGTCGTAAAACCCGTATATCCTGTTTATGCTGGCGCATTCGTGATTGCCGCGCAACAAGAAGAAGTTTTCCGGGTATTTGATCTTGTACGCTAGTAATAGGCATATCGTCTCCAAGGACTGTTTACCCCTGTCGACGTAGTCCCCGAGGAAAAGATAGTTTGCGTCTGGTGGAAAACCACCGTACTCGAACAGTCGTAACAAATCGGTGTATTGTCCGTGTATATCGCCACAGATCTTAAGGGGTGCCTCCAATTCCAACAGGATCGGCTGCTGAAGGAAAATCTCCCGTGACTTCAGGCAAAGGCCGCGCACTTCACCCTCCGACATTAACACGGTCTTTCCTGGCCGGCTCCCTCTGACTGCGCCCAAAAATTTTCCACGTTTAAATGCATTTCTTCCGGCGCCACAACCACGCGAGGCTTCGCTGACATTTGTTTCACAGGTACATCGAGCATAATTCTACGCTGGAGCATCAAGGTGTCTGACACAGTGGTGTAACTAAGGGCGCGCAATTCGAGGGGCTCCGACTTTATACCAACAAAAAAAAATATATATATATATATATAATATCGGTTAAATACAACGATGATTCGTACGTCGAACGGACAATTATACATTCATTGACAAAACAAATGAAAAACAATGGTCTTGGATAGTTGGCGACGTAAAAACAAAACGTATATCTGTTACTGGTTCGGCTGTATACGTTGTTTCGTCAATATGGGTTCTATAAGAAATAATCGTCCCTAAAATATATTAGGCCTAATATAAGGAATATTAATTTTTCTCTACAACGGACGAAACATAAATTTGATCACGCGAACCCCAGAATTGCTGGTTACTCCACTGGTCTGACTACCGAGAACCGATTCAAGAGAGCAAGGGTATATAATACGATTACTCGGATTTCACGAATTCTCGTGTCGTCCTGTTGTTGGGGTTATCATTGCATGTAATACTGTCTGTTATGTTGAGGGTTGTTGGTCAGAGCAAACGATTTTAATCGCTCAAGGTCACCGAGGTCGCAACACCAGATCGTAGAAATGGAAATCGTGTTCGATGCGATTTGTGCCGGCGAAGGTGACCTTTTGCGCACAAAATCTGTTGGCCCGATTATAACACTTTCATCTTGAGCACTGAGATTTGTACTTATTTAGCAGATTGGTGCATATGAAGTGTCCTTTTCTTCAAGTCTAAGCTTTGAGAAACACTGAGCTAAATGATATTTTGTTGATTTAGATTTTTAGAGATGAATTTATACACGTGGATCGGTGCAAGATTGAAAGAATGATCTATCGAAAAATTCATTTAGATTTCTTGCATTTAAAGCCGATAATGCACGAAGCATTAATAATGATTAACGTGCCTACGAGTTTAATCGAAAAGAGGCGACGTTTCATGTGCACCCACCACCTAGTGTCACATTTCGTTAACTGCATGTTTCCAATGGAAGAAGGATCTGTTTTTAAACCATTTTAAAATAAATGCGAGATTCCGACTCGCACAAAAAAATGTCAGTAATTTCGAATGATGCAATTGTTCAAGGAAACAAATAAGACAAGCGGTTCGATAATAAAAACATCGAAGCTACGTAATATAGGTTTTCTCTTGATGCAATAATCCGAAATACGAAAGCTTGTCGCACACTGTAGTTATAATGCTTCAAAGGGATTAAGTGGCTATATGAGCTCGAATAATACGCCGTACGAACATAAACCTGCGGAATGCACTCGAAAACAAAAGCCTAGAGCCAGTTAGACAGTTTTATGTAATCGCCTAATCATAATATTCCGAAGAGAGGTTTGTGAATATGGCTGGTTAAACGGATCTCGAAGCCACCAAATAAAAAACAAAACAATTTCGCGTGCAGATAACTCTTCGGAACCTTGTACCAGTGTCACTGGATTATTTATAGCTATGAAGGAATTCACGGTGCGGTTAAACTGGGCCGATGGTGGTTATTGGAAAACTGCAATCGGCAAGGTCATATCACCGAGTATCAAAGCTTCATGATTAATGGAAACAAAGATACAAAATTCAAAATACAGCGAAGCATCGGGAACGACTTATATTAATATTACGATTATTATTTATAGAGATGGGCGAATGACAAAAAAAAAAAAGGAAATCTTAATCATTGTCGTGGTTATATACGATCAGGCGCGATAGTTTGGACCGGTCCCTACTCGTGATACGTTACGGTTTATTCCAACAATCTTATCAATTTGCATACAAATACGGTTTCACTTTCGTAGAAAACATTTACGCAAGAAGATTCGTGAAAAGCCTTTTTTATTTTGTTAAAAAGAATGTATGCTTCACCAATCGTTTCCATCCTAATTATAATATATGTTTTGTAAGAAATGTATAATCAAACAACGACTGCTATGTATTAAGTCTGTCTGAACAAAAATAGCGAATGCTTCGTGTTTCTTTGTAATATTCGCAAGACAACCAAAGCATACTCCTAACGAATATGTTCAATAATGTCAACATTGCGATATACATTTATTAATGGAACACACAGAGAAAAACGTAGGTTAGGATATAGACATTAAAACAAACAATATATTTACCAAGGTACATACAAGTTGTGCTATGAGATCTTCAAAGAGAATATTGTCTAATTCTCATAAAAGATAGCTCATTTGTTAAGAGAAGGTGATAAAGAAGCATACAAACAGTGTTCCGATAGAAGAAGGTAACTTGTGAATCAACACTGACAAATATATCGAACATGCAATTAAACGAATTTGCAGTCAAGCAATATATTACGTGCAAACTGAATTGTTATGAGTTATATCCGTTGCATAAGTATAACACGTACTTCGAATAGTTGTTGCTTTACAAACACAGGTTCGCATCTAATGTTTACATTGTAGATGCGACGTATACGATTTTGATACAAGGAATTTGTAGAAAACTGTGAAAGACGACGAGGTGCAACAATACCAGAAAAGCTAAGGGGGACATTAGCAGTACGATGGTAAAATCAACTTGAAACAAAGATGATATCTTGGGTGAAGTCCGATGTTGCAGGTGCCACAACACTATATCTAGTTTCTACTTCGTTTTATATTGTATATCATAAGCAAACGATAGCGAGCGATCACTCACGACGTTGAGGCAGGAAAAGACGCAACTAAAAAACGTAAAGAAAACTACGTGGGGTGGTTTCCTTGTTGCGTACCGACAAAATCCGACGAGAAAATATCTTTTAGCTTGGCTTTCTTCTGAACCTGGTCTTTCTGCGTGTGGTATACTTTACCGCGCAGAGTTCCGACACGTAGCATGAGAAAGAGAACAAACAAAAAGAAATAATTTTGCCTTGTGAGAAAATAAAGAAAAGTAGGGGATAAATCCGTGGACAACTGGCATGTACAAATTACGACTGCAACACTAGAAGATCGATATTTCTTTTTTCGTTAATCTACGGATCGTCAGTGAAACAAATTTCCATGGACAAAGAAAATCAAGAAAATCCATTTGCAGGTTCATGAAAAACACACAAATATAAAACGTCGTAAAGTAAACCGCGCACGATTTAATTCCTTCCTTTGGCTACAAAGAAACGTATATGCTCGATGTACGCGGCGCGACTTCGCATCGAGCAATTTTCGCAGGGTATTTTGGAAAAATGTTCGGTTAACTGTACACCAAATCGAAGATAAGATCCCGTAAACAGCTGCACACTTTCTTTTCACCAAGGCGTTCTTTTTATCACGTACCTTCCAACAATCTTTTTATCAGGTTGTCGACGTTCAACTCGACATCCGCCATTTTTTCTTGCCACTGACTGACTGACCCGATGTTTGTAGCTAGATGAGACGTTTGTATACGCATTTACTGTATATACATCTTGTAGATTCATCATGTATATACGTTCGCTGTTATCGACTGCCGATCCTGTATAAATGTAAAAAAAATGATCATGACAAACCAAAATTGAGGCAGAATTTCAGGTAGTAGTAACTACTTACGTAGGGAGTACTATCAATATCGAGGTTTTAATTTAGTTTAGACCCCTTCTGATCCATCTTCATATTACAATTTATATATCGAAAAAACGTATTTTAATTCGACAATATTACCAAACTTGTGAATTGTAATCGAAAATTTAAATAATCAAACATCAATTAGTATAGTAATTTTATTTAATTATTTATGCTTTCGGGTAATCATAACCTTTATTTTAAAACTATTGATATTTAATTGAGTGGTACTAATAAACAAAAATGGCATACATTATTTCTGTTGAACATCTTCGAATACGTGTAAAATTATAATTGGGTAATAAAGTTATAATACATTATATTTACAATAAATAAAAGACATTAATATTTTCGTCTAAACTAAAGTGTATGGAGTATATTTTTTTTCTGTACAATTAGTCAACTAAAAAATTAATCTCATAATTCAGAAAATCATTGAATAGTATTTAACACACCATTCGTAAAGGTACTAAATTTGTACAATTACCTAATTATTTGTATAACAAATTAATTATGATACAACAGTGTCAATGTGTATGTTTTTTAAACAATCATTCCAACTGCCATACGAAATATTCTTGATAAAAACGTGGTAATATATTGCTTCGATTAATTAAAAATATCCATCAGATCATACTAACTTAGGCATATTTCCTGTGATAATCTGGCGGTGAATCTGCGTAATCCTGCTGAAGATTGAAAAGTTCGGTATTATTTTTTTGTAAGTATTGTAAAAAATCGTGAAAATGTGATAATAGCAGCTGTATGCTTCTTTCATCTAATGTCGTATACGATAACATTCCGCCGAGTCTCACTGCAAGAATAATTTAGTTACATAGTTCCTTTCACCATTTTGTGAAAGGATTACAAATTAGTTGAATTTAATAAAATAATACCAAAGAGCCTAAGTAAATGGAATGCACCATATAATTGGCTGGGCAGTGTTTCTGGATTATCATTCATAATCTGAATAAATTGTGGACGTTCCCACTTGTATAATAACTGCAGACCTAAGGATATATTGAAGTATTCACGAATACCCTTAGTTATTTCTAATATACTTTCCCTAAAAATGATCACGTTAGGAATTATGGTAATACGATAAGCTAAATCATTATCATATAAATACCTGACAGAATCAGTTTTTCCTAATGATTTTGATTCAACATAATCATCTAGAATTTTGTCCACTGTATTTTTCACAGGTAAAGCAGGTAATTTATGATGTTTTAATATAACTTCTGATTCATCTATAAGTACAAATTTCAATTCTTCTGGGATTTTAATTTTAACTTCCACCTTGGTGAGATATTCTTCGGTTTCACCGGATGGTTCTAAACGGCTGCAATCAATTTTTGGTTACCTTATACTTTACATCTAATATATTTAAGATTTTTGCAACACCACTTTAAAACAGACCTGCGTTTTTTACGTGGGGCATCCGAAGTAGAATCATGAGAGGACGATGGAGTGACAGAGCTAGTGGTACCTTTGCTAAAACGACTAACACTTTTCTCAACTGTGGCAACAGGAGTACTAGCTCTACTATCCGTATCTTTTTCACGTCCACCTTCACTTCTACGTCCTTGAGTTTTAGAAGATGTATTGCCTTTCTTGTTTTTCTGTGTAGATTGTTGATTAGAATGGGCTCTCTGGACCTCTCTTTGTCTTTGCACATTGGCTTCATTGTATTTCAGAACTCTACTTTCCGGCACCCACTCATCCCAACTATTCATATTACATTAATACTTATGAATGAATATTATGTCACTTATTAATGCGAAATGAATACTCACTTTTTATTCCATCCAGCATAATGAATAAAGTACTTGATCTGTTTTTCTTTGGTAACTGAGGATTTTAGACATTTTGCTTCGTAAATTAAAGGTCCATGAAAGCACAGAACTTTCTCTCCTACAAACGAGTACACGATAAAAAGAAAACAGAATTAACGTTTAGTTATCAAAATTTATCTAGTGGACAGTGTAACTTTTCATACAATTGTATTAAAAACTAATACATGTACCTTCCTGAAATTTACATTTTGGTGGCATGTTGACGTCCTTTGAACTGCTTATTTTGACTACTGATTTTTGGGTCGTCAGTTTAAAATATTGTCTAAATTTTAGAAATTTGTCAATAATTCGCGCCAATGGCAAACAATTGATTTCCACTGATTAACTTAAAGTTAAAGCATAACTTTGAAAGCGGCGTCCTGCTTTGTCTTGTACATCGCACGTAAAGGCTGATACGCAATGTAGACTAGAACATTATAGTTATATAGTGATCGTACTAGAGATTTTTCGTTTACACAATTATCTAACTTGCATGGAGAGGAACGTAGACGCGATTTAAATTTAATTTCGAATTCACATATACGGAAGTATTAAAAAATATGCTAAACCGAAACCTCAGTAATCTTCTCTTTTCAAATTTAAATAATATCATTTACAGTAAATACAGATAATCGTTAGAACGAGAATAACAATGTGAATATCAGTTCATTTTCATTTAAAGCAAAATCCATAATTGATAATACCATTGTTGGTTATAAGATAATATAACTATAACGGACATTTATGAAAATGAATGATAGTAATATGGGTGTACACATTTTATATTTAAACTTTATTTTTGTATATAACACCGTTACGTAAATAAAACATCAAAATTTACGGAGTACGCGACGCGATCTGACCTCTTCCACAGACGACGCGCGAATGGCTTAGCGGTCAACGACAGCGCCAAGATAAGCAGTACACAAACGTTGCGCATGCGCGCTTCGTTAGGTAACAGATGAATATGTAGCTTTTAAATTATCACAATAATCAAGTTTTTATACATTCCTGAACATTCGATTATCGATTTCTAATTAGAATCAAATATTAAAATTCTACATAAAAATTAAGAATTACTTTAGGTATATTCATAGTACTCAATAATCTGCTGCTATGTATCAACACAATAATTGAAATTAAGTTTCTGCGATTTATTTTTTCATCCCGTTATATACGTTAAACGTGCATAAAAAATATCTCTTCTGCGTACACTTAAGTATTCATTAGTTTGATTTAGACATTTCGAAAATGTATAAACAATTTTAAATCAAATCGAATATTGGTTGTCTATCGTCGTATAACCAACTATTATCTTGAACGAGTATATCCCGTTACTTTTAACTTTTATAAAATTTACAAAATAAGCAAAGACGAAGGTTATGGAAAATTAAAAACGTCACATTTCCCTATGACGTTACACAAGGTTATATTTTGTAACTTTCTCTTCTTTTTTTTTACGATGTTCTTTCGGCGGGTCGTACCCGTAAAATGTGACAAAATTTTCGTTCGTCGTATTGGTACATACATCACTCAATTTTTGTTAAGACAATTGATCGGAATCAATTTTCCCTTTTTATCATGGTTTTGAACAGTCTCAAATAAATTTGAACAGTGGTACTCTAACAGAATCGCTGGCTATATTTAGAATTAGTGTCAGAGAATATTGACGTATCTGTGAAACGCATTTTTCATCGTTTATTCAAATAATCACGGATCACTATTTTGTTATCAGAAATAATAATTCACATTCAATTTGTTCACATAGTCATGCGAAGTAAAGATTAGAAAAATCCTGTGAAACGAAAAAAAAGTACGAAAAGTACCACTTATTCGACGGACTGTCAGAGGTGGATAGAGTTTCACGAATATCAGGTTAAAAATGAAACGATGGACTGCCATCATCATGATAAGTTATTATAAAAAGATCTTGCAAAGTCTGAAAACGGTGGAAAACGCAGTTCTCGTGTCGTTACTGTTCGATGTGTTATCACACTTTTCCAACAGACTTCAAAATTAATCGATTACTACATAATTAAAAATCTACGTATTCAGACTTTGTAAGGTCCTTTGTAAGATTCAGGTAGAAAATATTGTAACTTCTCACTGGTGTCCGTGACTAAAATCACCGACCATTAACGTTCGACAATCATTAATATCATTCATTATACCACTCATACACGTTCCACGCATTCTGTTCCTTTCTTTGCTTCCCCTCTCGTTGCACGATGCATATGAAAAAAGCGCGATGTCACCAGTAATTGCAAACGAAAACAAAACTAGTACAATCCTCTCTGTTGCAGATAGGTATTGCATGAATATTGTGCAGAATAATCGTTTGCAAGTTCGTGAACGATAGAAGGGTGAATTATGCTGAGATCTGTTAAGAGTAAATCGAAGAAACTCTATATGTTCCATGAACAGACATTGAAGATTGTACGACGTTCTTTTGATAGAGTAAATAATATTCTCTTAAATAAATATATACTGTGACGATGCAAACATTAAAGCGACAAAACGCTTTGTTCATTGATTTCACCTCTATACCTTCTATATTCGTTTAAAAATAATCCCCTAGTCTCCTTTGTACATGTACATATTAAGTAATTAACATTCACATTATTCTGCACAACATTCGTTTGACTATAAAATGTATGTACTTATTACATATACATATATACGTATATATATGTATACAATAAGTAAATTTATAACCTAACATTCTCTCGTGTAATGCTTCAATAATAATATTAATAATAATTAAAACTAACTAATCGATATCGCGTGATAACCATTAATGAGGTGTCTGCAGCATCTCTGTTCTTTTCCGTCGGGGTCGTCACGTTCTTATTTGTATATATGTATATATATTTGTATTATTTACAGTTGCAGAAGGGTGTGATCATTATTGTGTAGGCACTATGGCTTCGGACGTACACTAAGTTGTACGTTAGGGTACATCCTTAAGAGACTTCCAGTTAAGACAATTCTCTCCAGTGCATTCTTGAATCCTTCAGGAACATTGAACAGTATTTAGGTTGCCTTGCATATGTTAAGACAAGAAATTTTCCACGCCGTGTTTACGCGGCGGAAAACAAGTTGCACTGGCGTAGAAATTCTCTATTGAGAAACCCCTTAAATCAGGTCCAGAATAGTACTGTATCCTGAATGAATCTTAGACATTTATCGTTACAATTAGAATTAAATATGCGTTTATATGCGACGATACAGCCTAAGATTTCCTGTTCTCTTTCTGTACGCTTGAGTTCGTCTCCATTGTTCGCGACCATTATCGAGGAAGCTAATCAACACGATGTACGTAGCAAGACTGATACTATGGAGTCAGTGTAGGATGACAAATCTGCCAGAATTATTTTTCCTCGCCCGCATCGACAGATAAATTTAATTATAATTCATGCATCGTCGAACCGCACGAATTATCGTTATCGGAAAACTCGACCAATTACAAAAGTATATAGAATAAAAACTATGCCTTCCTGCCATTATTTCTTCTTTTTTGTTTTTACAAACGATTCATCGACAAGCTACTATGCATCGACTGCTTTCAATAAATTTATAATGGATTCTTTCGGACGGCGGTCTTCTGCTTCAAACACGATTTAGAAAAAACAATTCAGTCCAAGTGATAAGAGAAGACGACCGTCCGGAACGAGAACGTTCATTTTTTGTTCTTTTTAATTATCACGTGAATAGAAACATTACACTAGGAGGGACATTTTGATGAATGATTCCGCGCGCTACCGGTTCAATTAATTTTACAATTCAACAACTACGAAATATCTTCGTAGCTTGGTGTTCGACACGAGTCCAGTCTCTCTTCTCTTTGAAATTCCAAATACATTCTCACCCTCGTTTTACTCTTATTTCATTTACAATATTATTACACATTGCACAGAAAAATGGCTTTTGCTTTGCCAGGCAGCTTTACAACTTATTCCAGAAGCTTAATCGGTCTCGACCGTATCAAGACGAGAAATACACGAGAGCACCGCGTAAACAGTTGCGCGTGATATGTTTCCCCTCTGTTTTGCGGCGCGTCTTTTCATCTGCAGAGGTCGAATTTTGAAAGGGATCCGACATGATACTTTATGCTGATGATTTACAAATGTTTTACGCATAGCACGAGTCGCGGTTAAAACACTTCAACGTAAGATATTCTCGACAAAATACTATTCGGTATTAAATCGTTACGCGAATCATTACAAATCACAAAATCCTATCTATACTTCGTATTTACATCCGCGTATTCTCCAATAGAGCTAAACAGCAAAATCATTTTACTAAGCCGTGATATCGGTTTTCATTGTTGCAAATTTGATTGTGTTTGAAACTGAAGATATTCGCGATCATCCTGTTCATACGGCATCGATACGAACTTCACTATCCTAATGAACAACAGACCAAAACGATACTACGATTTGCTATACTTTCTCATTCTAAACGAGTACAATGTGAAACGAAAATTGCCAATTGGGATACGTGTGATTTGAAAGCGTAATCACAGAAACAACAAATTATCCTCTATCCGTTCGAATACTGGGGAGGCGAACTCAGAGAGTGATAGTCCAAAAAGACAAAAGTGCTGTCACGATGACGATGATAAGGATGATATTTTTAGAATTTGAAATCAAAGAGATCCGAAAGCCCTTCCTCCGTGCCTAACGAGAACGAATAGTCGTTTTCGGAAAGAGGTGGTTCCAAGGACAGCAGGTGTTCTCCAAAATCGAGAATACTTAGATCTGTAACAAAAGAGAGAGAAAATAGTGGGCTTGTCCACTGTTATCAAACACCTTTACTTTCAGATTCGAATTGTCTTATATAGTACAGCTGTTTTAAGTTATTTGGAAATGTACGAAAATGTTGAATAGTCCAAGTCTTTGATCGTATTATTTTTGTAAGAATGTAATTGAAGAACTAATTAAACATCGTTAAAGTGCCGAACCAATATTCAAACGTATGCTCATCGTAAGAATTATACATATGTTAAAGTATGCTTTACAGTTAGCTGACAAATAGATTGCTTAGTTGTGTTATTGGAAGCCAAAGTATAAAATCGAAGTATGATGGAGAAATCAAAGCTACCGAATGTAAGAAGCAAAATATTAAGAAAATAGATACTTGCATGAAAGCACAAATAATCCAGTAATTATTTTATCTATAAAACGTACCTTTATGAGATACGAACTTTGTTGTTTGAAACCATAACCTAACTAGAACTCTGCCTGTGATGTGACTTTAATTTTCATAACACACAAGTCACAGTCAGAGCTCCATCAGGGTATGGCTATGTTCCATTGTTGAAAAGGTAGAGGACAATGAAAGAAAGATAACCCGAGTCCATGAAATTTAAAAGATGATGGGTGTTAACTTTTGCTATCTTCCTTTCAAAGAGATTACTTTCCATGAAAAGTTATGGAATTTATTAATAGCATGCACAACGTTTCTTTCAGGCTCATTAATAATTGTAACATTTAAATTATGAATGTAATGTTATAGCATCCTTTATTTGCCCAAGAAAGAAACGTGTTTTTTCGAAAAGATCCCAAAAGTACAGAGACAATTGCAGTGTAAAAAGCATTTATTAAAAAAAAAAAATAACAAAATGAAAAAAACATAAACACAAAAATACATTAACAGAGAAGATGAAGAAGAAATTGCATAGAAAAAAGATTTGATGAAAAATGTTACTTCATTATAGACTAATTTAACAGGATATATTAATGACAAAATTAAAGGATTAAATAAGTAAATTAAAAGGCAAAAAGGTGAAAACAAACTTATGACTGTTTGTATACAAAATATAAAATTATATAAAATTAAGTATTATATATATATATATAAACTTTCAAATAAAAATAAAAGAAAAAAACACTAATTAAAGAACTTGTATTCACCTCATTGTAATTGATTGCATTTTATGTCCAGCATTTGCAATCAAATGCAGCATTACATACAAAAGCGTACATGCAAAGCCAAAACAGCATACATAATATTTTAAACGATATTTTGTGAAATAAAAATATAAACTAAAAATAATACCATTAAGTTAATAAAAAATGTTAAAATTAAAATTGGATGTAGATGCATCAACTATTTTTTAAACTATCGAATTCTATTCTTTCAGCTCTAATTTCTGATCGAGTTAAAAAAGAAAAACATAACAAATGAAATAATTCCGAATAAATCCTAATTTAAAAGATTTACACGGTCCTACCTGAAGTGCTAATTTG